TTTTGCTGTGAAGTTTCAAATATAAAAGTATTGTCTCACGAAAACACTTACATGATGTCAAGTCTCTCTATCCATACATATATATATATATATATATATATATATATACATACATTTCAATTAACCAATTAGTCTTGATACTATTCTTAACCTGTCACCATTCCATGCTTTAAAAAGCTTAACTGATCCTTTGGAAAAAATTACTAGACTTGACCAACCACGTCCTTAAAGATAACCCTGAAAATGAAATGCAATAAAGTTGCATTCTTTTTTAATTTGGATTTAACTTAAAAAATAAAAACTGTATTTTCAAACACCAATAAAGAACACAGCTGAAAAGCTGAGCATGTTCCCAGACAGACTTACAATTGTCATATCCAAAGCAATACACAGCTTTTTTAGTACACCTCATTCAAACACCATTCCTTTTCATTTACAATTTTCTTTACCATAAACTGTGGGTCACACTCACACTCACACATGGTAAAACCTTAAAAGGCCAATCAGAAAAATTCCCAGAAAAGACCACTTGGGAATTGGAATCACAGGCACCCACTCACATTTCTTCAACTCAAAAAGCTTCAAGAATATCTTGGAAATGAAAAACATACACCATGCATTCCAACTTGTACATCCACACCAGAGGAAAAAGAAACAGTCAAATGGATATTTGCACCAAAAGAGATCACAAAGTTAGCTTTAACAGAACTATGCCCTTTTCAAGAAACAAGAAAACAACAAAGTGGTGGGGTTGGGGAGTCAAGTCAAACACTATGAAACCACTTCTGCTAGTAAGAACCCTAAAAAATTCTGGGTTTTTTTCTTTTTTGAGAAAAACCCAATTAAGAACCTAAAAGAACAATCTTTAACCATGGTTAGGGTAAGACAAAGTTAGTTTAACCCTTTAAAAATTTCTGGCATATACTCTTAAAAGTTGCAACATTCTTCTATGTGGCAATCTCAGTTTGTGCACCTTCAACCACTGGTGATGACATGGCGCTGACTGGGCTGCTGACCTGGACCAGATCATCCATGGCTCGCGGTTGTAACCGAGTGTAGTGAAACTCTATCTGTAGTCTTTGATGAACCGGTATAGAAGAGGTTAAACCTTTCTTGATATCTGCTTCCAATTCCCTAATAGGAATTGCAGCCAAGAAAGTCTTGATGTACTCTTTACAACACTCTTTTCCATTGCAAATAACCTCAAATTCACTCTCATTTTTCACTGCTTCATCACCAAGATCCTCCGAAATGCTGAATCGATCAGCGGCAGGCCTCTGTTCGACTGAATCTGAGACGGGTATCTTGTAGATTGTCGTGTTTCGATCAAATTTCAAGATGTAAGCTTGATTGCATCCCTCGAAGAGCCTCTCCCCTAAAGTGTCAATTATGTAAAAAGCTTCGGGTTCCACTTTCAACACAAAAAAGTGATCGTTCCAGCTCACAATGTAGACCAGGGGTTCACCATGGGTAAGACCATCCGACTCATGGCTAATCTCATCCCACATGCCATCAAACGACATTGCTCCATGCAAAAAGTCAAATTTGCCCTCTTCGACTTGATCTGGATGAAAGAACCCGATAAAAGATTTCTCTTGGACGACGGAGATAGGGCGGACATTGGCTTGGATGATGGTTTCGAGATCAAAGTGCTTGTCGGGAAACTGTGATCTGTATGTTTCGTAGTCGCATAGGTTCCTCCATTCTAAAGAGCCTTCCCTAATGAGAGAATCAAGTTGGGACTTAATCGGCATCAGATTGTGGTTATTTTGGAACCAATCAGCAACCACTGCCACCAGGGCGGTACAGGCACTCTCTCCGGCAGCTCGCTCACTGCGTTGATCAATGGAAGCAAAGAAGACTTGCGCTTGAAGTTTCATGTACCCGTCGCGGCTGATTATTTCCCTCTGTTCCCAGTTTCCAACAGCAAAACTATCGTCCCCAAACTCAGATATTGAGGATTGGTTCGCAGAAGATTCTTCGTATGCCTTGTGCCACTGCCATGGTGTAGCTATGTCAGCCATTTGTCAATCAACATAAATACCTTAGGAGAAAACAAGAAAATCTTGCAAACCCATATCAATGTAATCAGTTATGTAACAACCTCCATGGACAAACAGGTAAATGCAACTTAAAAGCTTCTTAAAAGTTAAAACTAGAATTTGATGCAATTTTCTTTGTAAATAAGCAAACAAACAAGTTCTAAACCAAGAAAGTGAAAATATTTTACCCTAACAAGAGATTCATCGGAGCTGAGTTGTCGTCGGTCAAAGTCAATGTCATCTCCACCTTCTTCACCATAAGCTTTCTTTAACAATGGCTCCCCTTTAACTTTTGGTGATTTGAAGTTAAGTTTCCTCTTCTTCCATGGTAAGATGCTTCGTTTTGAATTCTGAACGAGATACCCTTCCAAAACAGAAGCATCCGGATCCTCTTTCTGAGAACTACCCACATCAGATTTACGGTAACTATAGTAAACACTGTTCTCATAAAGAGACCCTCCGGTATAATTTGCATTCGCCAGTGTGCCGTAGCAAAACGACTTCCTAAAAGTAGCATCCTCCTCTTTACTCTCGTGTACTTCTCTTTCTTCGGATTCAGAAAGCGAATCTGAATCAAAAGGGTAGTTATAATCACCCTCTTCGCTCCTGCTTTCACTGATTTCATGATCATCTTCTTGCAAAGTTTTTTTGGCACGCCGGATTGACACATAATCCTTAAAGATCTTGACTTTTCTTAATCCAGCTTTAAGTGCAGAAAGCTCATCCTTTTCTCCAGATGAATTTTCTGTTATTTGACTTTGATTCTGCATTGACTCTGCTGATTCTTGAGCAGCTCTCAATTCTACTAATCCAAGTGATATCTGCACCACAGGCCTCAAGAATTCAAGATTTTGAATGCAAACCCAAAAGTAGAGTTTCAATGGATTTACATCTACCATTAATAGAGAACCGAGTAATTTCTACTCCCTCCATCCCAAAATAAATGCAACATTTTTCTTTTTTTGGCAAGGCTTCAATCAAAAGTCACCTATTTGCCCATCACTTGTCATGACAAAATATTGATAATATCGGTTTTGGTTCAAGGGTTTCCGTGTTGATTCTTGAGCCATCACATTTGGCTTATTTGTTTCGCAAACATTCTCGTCAAAATGCAAAAAGGACATCACAACTTGCAAGAACGAACAATCTTGGACAAAAGAATCTAAACTTCCAAGAATGAAAGATTTTGAACAAATTCTAGAAATGCAAAGAAGATTCATATTTGGCATTTTAGTTCAAACTCCAAGATTGCTCAATCTTACAAAATATAAATTACAATGTTTGTTCCCATTTCTTCAAAAACGATGGCTTGTTTATAGCAAAAATCCAAGTATGATGATTTAAAAGTCAAACGACTACATTTAAAATGTATGGAAATGCTATAATGGTACATACGTGAAGCGAAGGGGGAGAATCAGTTGCTCCACAGGGGACAGTAAGAGGTATATCCAGCTCAAAATCTTTTTCTTCACCTGCAGAGGCATAATCAGCAAGGTTCAAGGATGCTGTTCCAACTACAGGAACCTTATTCTTCGGCCCTGGGCTTAGTCCCTGGATTAAAACAAAAATATCCCAATATCTTAGTAGAATACCAGGATATGAAAGTAATAGCATCGTCTACTGTCAAGATAGAAGATCAAAACTGGCAAAAAGCATAATCAATAGATTCAAGTATCAGAATTTACTTTATAAGAGAAACCCAAACATAGAAACCATACTTGATACAACAAAAAAACAGTTTTAAGAGATTTTCCATACTAATACACGAATTTATGATTTTCCCATAACACCAACAACATACTATGTGCATAACATGATCATGTTGATGCTAACAACATGACAATATGTGTGATATGCCTCTATCCGTTTATATATTATGTATGTAATGAGACAATATATAGAAATATACAGTTAGCCTAATATTTTATATAATGACAAATCCTCTACCAAAAAAGGATACATCATACATCTATCATTCTCGAGCTAAACTAAGCTTCCAACGTCCCCTGTAAACATAATCTCAATATAAACTGGAAACGAATCAATAAAACCTGTGTTTTCGCTAACCCCCTTTTTCGCCTTTCCTCTCAAGTATTCCCCCAAAGAAAGAGTTGAAATTGTCTTTTGCTGTTGAAGGTGGTATTTTTCATGCAGAATTGATATTGATTTCTTGCAAATTCCTTAGAACTCGTTAAAAAGTTCAGCTGTAAATTTTCTTGAAAAGTTCAAAAAAATTAACCCTTCTTGTACATTCAAAGTCAAGGTATGGTTCTTTTTTACTGCATATCCATTACAATAGCAGAAGGGAATAGAATCAACTGTGAACAAATAGCGATTGCCCCAACAGCAAGATATATGAACAAGCAAAACCCTAATTGCACCCACATCAAGATAATAGAATGAAACAAGATACCCATAAAAAAAAGGTATGAAATATCCCAATTTGGTTAAGAAAAAGAACAGTAAATATTCTTGTGACCAATTCAGTATAATCTAGCTGAGATTCAGTAACAAAGCAGTGAATTGATTAAAAATAAAAATAAAGAAAGCAATTAAACCTAAAACCGGATCGAAAAAATTAAAGGGGGATCAAGAACTCACATTCAAGACAGTGAATCCAATCTCCCAAGGATAGAAGACATTCTCTTTATACCCAGAAAGGGTACAGATAGTATGAAATTCTTCATCCCATTGAACGACACCGTTTGGTTCCACAACTGTCTCCTCCTTTGTAAAATTCCTCTTCACTGTTCTCCTAAATGTACTCTTGGGTCCCTTCCATCGAACCTCTACAGCCCTTAGAAAATCTTTCTCAGGATCAGGATCAGGATCACCACTTCCTCCTTCCATCTTCTTCACCACCAATTTCACCTGAAATTTCTTTGATAGAAGCGGCGGCCATGGCCTCCATTTAATCATCTTCACTACCATGTTTTACAGAGAGAAAAAGGGGAAATGTAGGTGGGTTCAAGAGAGAGAGAAAAAAGAATCCAGATTTGCATTAGTTAAGGCATGTTGGTGTTGTTCTTCGAAATGTTTTCATGAAACAAAGAAAGATTCAATGTGGGTTTTTCTTGTTTTCGAGGAATGGATTTTTGTCTTGGAAGAACGCTCGATGGATGATTCGAGAGAGAAGATGATGGGGGTGAATGTGCCGTTAAATTTCTTGATGGGTGTGGATGCCTAGAGGGAGAAACAAAGACCCGAACAAATGAAAACTAGAGAGAGAAAAAGAGAGAGAGAGGGGGGGGGGGGGGGGGTTCATTT